TGAGTAATTATCGACACCGATGTTCGAGCGTGGCACTCTGGACTTATGAATATTTTTCGCCGATTGTATCAATAGCGGTGTCAGGATGCTGACTTCGGTGATTATTGAGTGACTATTGTGTGGAAATATTCAGTCGAATTAATGTGAATTATTGCGCGTCGATGATTTGGGTTTAGATATAAGATTCACCAAGCCATAAAACTGAGACGCGCTACTAACAAGGTATTCCCTGAAATGGTTAATTATCTTTGGTTGAATTTTACTACTTTGTTCTTGTTAAGTATTTATTTGCAGTTGTAATTAAATATTGTTTTATCATAACATTGAAGTCTTGAGATATACTTAATTATTAACGGCCACCGTACGTCCCAAAACTGTTATAGTCAGTTTTTTAGTTAATCCTTTTTGTTATTTATTTTTGTTATATTTTTTGGATCCACTATTTATGGTAAAAAATTATTTTTTTCTTATCTTTGCTTTTTCTCCATTTTTTTTTTTTTTTTTTTTTGTTGAAGTTATGCAACATCAAACATGGTCAGTATCTTGATGCTTGCCTGCTTGGTAATACCAGGTGTAAGTTTACATGTGCTGGCAGGATGTAATTCATAGCTGCCACCGAGGTTCGAACGTGACACTCCGGACTTATGAATATATGTTTTCCGCCAGGTGTATAAATAACAGTGTCAGGCTACTGACTGCGGTGATTATTGGCTGATTATTGAGTGGAACTATCCAGTCGAATTAGTGTGAATTATTGTGAGTCGATGATTTGGGTTTTGATTTAGGATTTACCGGACGATAAGCCAAACTGCGCTACTAACAAGGTATTCCCTGAAATGGTTAATTATCTCTGGTTGATTTTTATTTTTCTTCTTTGTTCTTGTTAAGTATTTATTTGTGGTTGTAATTAAATACTGTTTTATTTAACACTGGAGTCTTGAGTTATACTTAATTATTAACGAACATCGTTCGTCACAAAAATGAAAGGAAGTATTTACTTTAACATTTTTTTAAATTTTTATTTGTCTCTTTATTTATGAGCGATCCTTAAATGTAAAAATTTGCAAAACTGTCATTTTTACTTCTGTTTATAAATACTTGTTATTACAGTACAAAATTATGTCACTTTTTTGTGGATTGAAACCCTGTATTTGGGCAAAATGTAGATGTGTGTACAATTCATACTTGAGCCAAAATATGGCCATAAGTTCAGTTTATACTTGAGTTTGTGTGCATTAATCCGGAAATCACTTTTTTTTGAAAGTTCCTTTCGTCTCTACGGTATATGCAGTTGTCGTATTCTATGTCGCACTAGAATGGCAAGCAATGTTGGGGAAAGGATAATGTGTCACCTTCCAGCAAATCAATGTCAGGTATCAATAAGCAGAACGGGGGCAAATAAATTAATTGAAACTCCCAGGTTTTAATAAAAAAATTAATTGAAACTCCCAGATTTTAATAAAAAAAATTAATTTAAACTCTCATATTTTAATAAACTTTAAACTTTAAATTTAAACTCCCAAAATTTTATAAATAAAAGATTAAAAAGGAAGAAGAGTAGAAAGGAAAACTGGATTAGGTCACAACAGCAAACGGGATTATCATTTCAATTTAGAGCTAAATAAAAATAAAATCACCCTCAATTTCGAAGATGACCTTAATGCGTCCTCAAAAGCTGCTGTATACCTAGATAAAATGTTTCTCTCTCATGTTTGTCATCATATCTACGATTGCGGCCTTCAACAGGACATTGTAATGTGAAACTGTTATTTACTCTCTAACAATCACTCATAACGACGCAATTTCCAACAGACGATATATATATATATATATATATATATATATATATATATATATATATATATATATATATATATACGTGTCTGTGTGCGTCTGTGTGTGTGCGCTTGTGTATACCCTAAGAATAAATTTCATATATATATATATATATATATATATATATATATATATATATATATATATATATGAATATACATAATACCCCACGCCGACTGTACAACACGGACTTTCATGTTTATGCAATCATCAGGTACTTGATAATTGTACCTGATGATAGTATCAACGTGAAACTCCGAGTTGTACTGTCGGCGTGGGGTATTATGTATATTCATTAACATATACGTAATAGCATTGTTTTTTAGCACTGAGAATTGTTTTTCTTACATCTTACACCAAAGTATATATATATATGTGTGTGTGTGTGTGTGTGTGTGTGAAAATATATAGAAAATAGGAAAGAACTCGTTAGGTAAATAATCCAAAGTTCTTTAGTATTTTAGTCATTATTTTTTAAAAATAGTGCTCGATACAAAAGTAGAGCATAAATAACGGTTTTTTGCCGACATCATCAGATTTTTTGCATTGAATAATTAGCATAAAAACAAACAAACAATAAAATAATTTTTAAAATCCATAGTCCTAATAAATAGGTTAAATACCATACAAAAAAAAGATAACCCTTTATGAAGTCGTCAAAAAACAAATGTTACGGCATTTTTTTTTGTTTTTTTTTTTTTTTTTATATATATATACAAAACCCTTTCAGAAAAAAAATAAAATAAAATAATAAATCTCCATAGACACGTAAACCAGAATAGGCGAAATCATCTTCCGTTTTAAATTTAGACGCCCCAAACTTACCCTGACTTGACATCTGTGAATGCAACTCTATACTTACTTTAAATAAATAATGTGTGTGTGTGTGTGTGTGTGTGTGTGTGTGTGTGTGTGTGTGTGTGTGTGTGTGTGTTTGTGTGTGTGTATGTATGTATGTATTTCTTGGAGCTACATTCTTATTGTTCAAAGTAGAGTTTAATAGTATTATAAATTCCAGTAAGATATCTTTAATCATTTCTAAGATACAACGGTTCAGAGCTTAATCTAACAATTGGACAATTTTGCTGCTACACTATTTGGACAATTTTCCTGTTACACCCAGTATATTCGATATTTGATAATTTCCGACATCAACCGCTCCCCCCTTTTATTAAAATCCTAGTTTATTGTATATTGGGGAAAATACCAAACCCCGATTACTTAATCACGGATTGAATTTGGTACTAGACTGTAGACAAATAAAGGCTGTAAAAAAAAGATTAAACGGCATCCCCCACACACACACCCTCTCTCTTTCTCTCTCTCTCTCTCTCTCTATATATATATATATATATATATATATATATAGATAGATAGATAGATAGATAGATATTAAGACTAAATGATCGATATTTAATCTACTGATCTCGAGAAGTTCTTGATAAGCACGTGTTTTGCCATTTCGTTGAATTCAAATCGCTTATTTAATTGCAGTCAACAAAATACACTTTTTTTAATTTATGTTAGAGACACACAATAAATAAAAAAAAGATTATTGAGACAAACTAACTTAAATGCGAGGCAAATTTTTTATGCAATTTTCTGAACCGGCGCCATTCAACTATTTTTGTCATTGAATGAAGGGTGGGTGCTAAAAAGTTCTCGGCTCAACCCATTGCCAGAAATGGCAGGGAAACTTCAGACACACTCGGTTGTAGGATTAATATTCTTTCGTTTTTTATTATTATTTCATTTAGATTCCTCAATCTCTCTCTATATATATAGATTGCGGAATCAGTTTGTAGATTAATATATATATATATATATATATATATATATATATATATATATATATATATATATATATATATATATATATATATATAGTAAAAAAATAAAGAACATTAAGATATATAATCCGGTGTTCTTATTGATATCTTTATTTTTACCAAATAGTGCACAATATAAGTTTACAGAGCATAAGTATTATAAATTAACTGATTTAAAAATATGTTTCCTTCGCTACACAGGAATTACCATGTTTCAAAAACCGAAGCTAAAAACTTCAAATTTAATTATATAATTAAATTAAAAGCATTAGTTCTGTTTCATCTTCAAGCGAATTTTGGAATAACTTATTTTTAAATTTACTGAGTTTTAAAAGCACATACATTCATAATTTCTTGCTCCATACAATAATTTTTGATACAATAATAGTTAATAAAAATGAACACGCTACCGCCCCTGTCTAAATGATTGGACGTCATGTTACCAGAGGAAGGGATCAGTGCTCGCACCGAGGCCAGCGCAACCAACTGTTGCGGGGGCTGTGGGCAATTTTTGTTCCTTGCCCGGGTGTTCGCGCTCGGGTCCCTACCTCAAAAAAGACCTTGTATCTCAGTGGGGTGACAGAGTAAATACTGTGTGTAAATTACTATAAAAATTAAAATTTTAAGCTAGCTGTAATTTTGGATACAAAAGGAAAATAAGAGTTACTCTCCTTGAACTATGAAAGCAACGATAATGGATAGTATAATATATTAATATACATTTTTAACCTTCCATAAACTGGCAACCCTGAATCTGAGCTTAACAAAAATCGTTCCCTGCGCCTAAGATTTTTAGGGCTTTTGAATGAGCTATGAATCATTGAAATCGGACCACGCTTAGTCAAAGTGGACCTCGGAAGAGCAACAATTAAGAACAAATAGAAACATTACTAATGAGAAAGAAGTGTAGAAGAGCAAACATGAGAAGATAATTGATAACGATTGGCATTGCATTTACATTTTTGACGATCAACGTTAGCTGGGAAGCATGAAACCGTAAGAGAGTTCTACCAGCGGGAAATGCTAGAAAAAAAACTATTTTATTGGTATTTATTCACTTCTAATTTTTTTGTTTCTCGAATTGACATAATCGTCTTCCTCGGAGCGATATTTATCAAAAATGTCATGGCGGCTTTTATTGATGTCAAAACCGACAGTGTTCGTGTTGTTGCTTAACCTCGGAATAAATTGCTTCATGCTTACTAACAATCATATCATCTCTGAACGAAAACCTGAAGTTGTATCTATTTGATAAATCTACCCTTGGGATTTCGGATTCAGCTCCGCAAGTCGAGCGTAAATGATTCTATTGGGATCTGGTAATGAGAATCTCACTTTACGAGAGACCGGAATGGTTGCTTGATGTCAGATGAACAGGAAGGGCGTGACAAACGGTTCAGAAATCGGGCATCTGGAGACATGGACGACGGCGCATCGGAATCGATGCAAGGGAGGAAGAAGGGAATGAAAAGACAGACAAGCGGAATGTGGAAAGGAACCTGTTCAGAAAAGATGCACTTAACAATAACGATAAGACCAAAAACCATTGCGTCTCTGATTAAAATTCCTTCTCCACTGACCACAGCTCTAACCACAGCGGCGCCATAAAAGTAATATTTATTCTATGGTGAACACCTCCATCATCACAATTACCATCATTAATAACTTCATAACTCTCGTTATCATGAATAACAACGTGACTGCAATTAGCGAAAGATGCCTACCAAAAACTAAGTATCAAGAAACAGGAAAATTTCATAGAAACAAAAAAAAAAGGTAGTACTGAAATTTTAAGTAATATCGGTCCTCTTATATGACATTGAATGCTGGAGAATCCCATTAGAGATGAAGAAGAGTCAAAATAAATATAACTCAACAGGAGGATGCTGAGAATATCATAGACTGAATAAGTGAGGAAACTTTAAGGAAACTGAATATGTAAAGGACGCTTATATTTAGAGTCAGAAAAAGCAGACGAAATCTCTAGAGCAAGGGTTGGTAACCTACGGCACCGCGTGCCTTACGTGGCACATCAAGCAATTTCCAATGGCACGCAGCCGCAAATGACATCACAAAGTTCAAACCAATAACTACTATAACGCAAAGAATATATTCATCTGTTTCAAAACTGCTCACTAGTTGGACTCCCATTAATAATAAAAACTTTAAAAAATACTTTATTTCTATTAATGGGGTTTACATATTATTGTATATATTACTATATAAAATATATTGTAGAACAGGTATATTGACCTCGACTTGTACAGCGAAAGGTTGCCGACCCCTGCATTGAACTAGAGTCTCTTTAAAACCATATCTATTACAAAGTTTTAATATATACTAAAGTATACATACTATATTTTACTATATAAAATATATTGTTTGAACAGGTATATTGACCTTGACTTGTATAAAAATACGTATGCTGTTGGCACACTGAATGATTTTAAAACCCTAAGTCAGCACATAGTCAGCAAATGGCTGCTGACCCCTGCAGTTGGCTATTATAATTTATAAGCGTGCATTTTAAGTCCTTTTAAATCCTGTTAAATAACATTTCCTTCTATGAATTAACAAAGACTCAGTTGTGGAGAGCCATGACTGGCAGCATCCTGAACGAAATGCGTAACATGTAAACATTTTCCACTTTGTCATGCAATTTCTCCAATATGTTCTTCATATATATATATATATATATATATCATTCAATTTCTGATGATTCAAAATTCGTAAACAATTATATTGACCACACCGCAACATGTCTGACAAGAAGACTCACACTTCACTTTTCTGATCATAGCTCAAGTAGGTCTCATTTAACTTCTCATGGAAACCTAATGGACCATATTCGCAACATACTTGTTGGCAATGAAAATATAATACCATCGTCTACATGTAAAAAAAGGCCAAAATAATGGAAGCCTTATTAATAAAAACAAAAAACAAAACTCAATAATAACATCTATGAACATGGACACAGTATTTTAACTGTGTTATGAACATAAAACATTCTATAATACTAAATACATACATACAAAAATCTATTTACAGTTAAACATTAATATATTTCATCTTTGAAAATGGGTAAATGTATAGCCGAAAGCACTCGGAAAAATATAACATTTGGACAGTTTTCGTATAATTTACCTACTGAAAAGAAAAAATTACAAGATCATATGAGAAATTATATAAAAAACTTAATCAAAGCACCTTGTCTGTCATATTTAATTAAGCATGCATAAAAGAAGGATTACTGTCTAAATGCACAATCTATCTATCTATCTATCTATCTATCTATCTCTCTATATATATATATATATATATATATATATATATATGAAAAGAGGCTAGCAATCGTCAGGTGGAAAGGAATAAATAAATGCTTATCTATTTTTGTATGTACGCATCTATGTCATATAGGAAGAAAATGCGTAATTACCGACGGCGAGGTTCGAGCGTGACAGTCCTGACTTATGTTTTCCACCAGGTGTATAAATAGAGGTGCCAGGCTACTGACTGCGGTGATTATTTAGTGACTATTAAGTGGAACTATCCAGTCGAATTAGAGTGAATTATCATGCGTCGATGATTTGGGGTTAGATTTAAGATTTACCGGACCTTAAAACCGAGACGCGCTACTAACAAGGTATTCCCTGAAATGGTTAATTATCTTTGGTTGACTTTTACTTCTTTGTTCTTGTTAAGTATATATTTGTTGTTGTAATTAAATACTGATTTATTTTTACATTGAAATCTTGAGTTATACTTAATCATTAACGGCCACCGCATCACAAATATCTATCTTTTATATATATATATATATATATATATATATATATATATATATATATATATATATATAAAAGAAATAATCATACATAGAATCAATCAGCAATATTAATGCGATTAATGGCGAAATCACTTCGCTAGTAGAAATTAATGTATGCAATAAAAAATGTTAATCCATTGAATGATGTGATCCTCATTTATAAAACTGTTGTCAGATGTTTCTAGTGTATATTTTTTTAAGTTAAGCAAGTACTTTCGAAGATCCATGTCTTTATCATCAGGCTGTAATTTTTTTCCTTTAAAGGTAAAACTTTATTTTATATATAAAATATATGCTGCCTATATATATATATATATATATATATATATATATATATATATATATGCGTATACATATATATATATATATTGAAATATTGATATACATATATATGCGTGTGTGTGTGCGCGCGCGCTCGCGAGTGTGCGTCTGTTCAAATGAATATGTGTTAATATTCTTGCATTAAATTTGCTTCTATATAAAAGAAAAATACCTATATACGAATAATACGCTAACACAGAGAAAAACCTCTTTAATTTCTTCTGCTGTTATCCTTTATTTCTCTGAAAGATCGACGCCTTCATCGAATTTCAAAGACACAGAACCCTAACCATGACCGATTTTGTTTAAAAAGGGATCAAAATGGCTTCCTCTTCACACATGGAGGTGGGATCAAAGGCAAGTTGAATGAATTAATCACAGGTTGAATGACTTTAAAGCGAAGACGAGACAAAGCGCAGGGATTTTTTATTTATATTTAAAAGGGAGAATTTATTATTTTCGTTCCGGAAGATACGGGTAAGAACTGAAACATGTCAAGCAATATATAATAAATAAATGAAAAGAAAGAACGTTAGTGTTCAATAGTTTCTAAGTACTTCCGCACGGCAACAATAAAGATTCCTTGAATGTCGACAACGGAAACGTATAACGCGAAAAGGTAAATAAAAACTGGCGGTTTCATGGGTAAATAAAACTCATGGAGGCTTACATCAAATAAATGGGAACTGGTATAGCGACTGCAGAGTAGTAAACAAATTCATAGTAAGGGATATAGCCATGGAAGCTATAAACAAACTCTGGTTCAGGAATTTTCTCCAAATCCCCGACACTTACATTATATATATATATCTCTTATATATATATATATATATATATATATATATATATATGAAAATATTATTTATCTTTTAAATATCAATTTTACCCGGACATCGATGTTTTTTGGTACAATTTCCAGTCTTCAGGGGTTGTGGCTGGTATTTCCAATTTTTTCCCTTGATAAAAATTCTCGGATTAATAAAAATTGGTTCTAATATACAAGGGGATTGAAACGTAAAGAGAAAAATGGAAAAAAATGAAAAGAAATATATACACTAAAATATATATATATTATATACTAAATATATATATATATATAATATATATATATATATGCATATATATAAATAAATATATATATATATATATATATATATATACATACTAGTATATATATACATATATACTATATATATATATGTGTGTGTGTGTGTGTACAAGTATAGGATTGGTGTATACAGAATAAATTCCAATAACCAACAAATACTATTCATAAAGGAGTGCTCAATACAGAGTAGATCAAATATAATTATTTATTCGAAAATTATAACATAAATATGTTATAAAATCACTACAAAAATGGCCATTTTGTTTCAACACTTCTGGTGTCTTATCAAGTGTTGGTGTTGAATGTAGAATGAAAAATACCCTTTATTCTACATTCAACACGATCGCTTGATAAGACACCAGAAATGTTGAAACGAAATGGCTATTTTTGTAGTGATTTCATAACATATTTATGTTATAATTTTCGAATAAATAATTATATATATATATATATATATATATATATATATATATATATATATGAAGAAATATAGTCTTAAGGTGTCATATATTTATGGGATAAGGATATAGAGCGTGTGTAAATATAAAAAGTGAACATAGATGTTTGAACATGATCGACAGTCTGTTTGATGCTAGATCCAATCGTCAGTCCTGACGATTGTTCACATCAAATGTTCACTTTTTATATTTTATATATATATATAAACTATATACATTAGTATATATATATATATATATATATATATATATATATATATATATTATTTAAGTTACTTCCAAGGAGGATGAAATTTTTTCCTCCTACTACCCTCCTATTCCTATATATCATTTCCGTTAAGTTAACCATCTAATTAGGTCACGGTTCGGTCACTCCTCCTACCCCAATATAAAGCATGCTTAAGAGAAATATGAAATTAACCCCTCCCTGTACTTGTCTCGTTAACTACAACTATCATCCTCCCTGTTAAATTACAAAAATTACACTACCCATCAATTTCTAATCCCATTTTTCCTTTCATTTCGTTGTTGGAATTGTTACCTGATGATCCGAAATCCTTTAAAAAGGATTTTGGTGAAATAAATTATTGTAATGGTACCTTAAAGTGGTCTGTTTTTCATTAATTATATATATATATATATATATATATATATATATATATATATATATATATATATATGTATATATATATATATATATATATATATATATATATATATATATATATATTTACCCACTGTCTGTCTGTTTTTACAGTTTTGGAGACCCCCATAACCATATATATATATACTGAAGCTACATTACCCAGTTTACTTGGATAATTATATTTC